AACATTTGTCTCCTTCCTATGCATTCATGTTTTTAAAATTGAATGAACGGGGGATTAGGGTTGTAAATTGTAAATAAATTGAGTTATTCATTTTATTCAACTCAAGATTAAACTTAAAACTAAGCTTTAAATGTGACACTCAAAATTCGACTCTATAGGGCTTAACTTATTCTTATTTTATTTTAATTTAAATTTAAATCTTTATTAAATACAAAAGTATATATTTTACTACTTGATTAAAAGGATTGAATCCACACAACACAAACTGGTTTTTGTTGTTAGATGCAACGACATCGTTTTACATTAAACACGGTTTAATGGACAAATCGGGGCAAAATCCTACAGATTGCCCTTCAACTTTTCAAGTGTATGGAACTTTACCTCTCACCTTATAATATGTAATTTTATACCCTCTTGATATGACTTTATACCTTCTGGTATTCCAGTGTATGCAACTTTAGCCTCAGCTTATAATTTTAGGAAGGTATGACATCATAAACTCAAATATTATGAGAGTATAAAATCATAAACTCGCATATTAGGAGGGTATAAAATCACATATTGTAAGGTGAGGGGTAAAATTCCACACACTCAAAAAGTTGAATGGCAATCTGTGAGTTTTTGCTGACAAATCGGATGGAAGAAGAGAAGAGAACCGCTTGATTATTGGTGATGAACGGTGATGATGATAGTAGATGACGTGTGTAAGTATACTGCATCTTCCTGCGCAGTCTTCTACAAGTCTTGATGATGTATATATAAAAAACGGGCGAAACAAACCTGAGCCAAAAGCAAATTAGCTTTGGAACAATTTTGGATCTTCAGTTTCCAAGTTACCATTTTGAATTGAATTTGTAGATGGGGTCGATTTCTGCTTTAGTCGGAGTATTGTTACTATCGGCTATGGCCGTGGCAGCGGCGGTGTTAGACCCACAGAATGTCTCCTCTCCGGGGGCCTTAGTTTGGTCCACGGCCAAAGAGGAGAAAGATCTGCTGCAAAAGTCTGACGATTCCAACCATGATTCTACTTCCTCTACCCCCGCCGCAGCCGTTGACGACCTCGATGGTGGCTTTTCCTCCCTCGACAGCATGTTACAGTGGGCCATAGGTTGCCATCTATACACCTCTTTTCAAAAATTTGTTTCTTTGTTTGTACTAACCATTTGGTTTGGTTTGGTTGTCACTAATTTCTTCAGGTCATTCTGATCCGGCCAAGCTCAAGGAAACGGCAGAAGGTGTCCAGCGTCTTTCTCCGTCTGAGTTGCAGCAGCGTCAACAGGAAATAAAGGTCTGTGCTGCCAACAACCTTAGTCTACAAGTTTTCTAGATTCCAAGTCTAGAGAATGACTTTTGCTTTCAGGGTTTTGGATTTTTTTGTTGTATGCGGTTTTGCTTCCTTTTTGGGTTTTTAGCTAACTTTTGCAATCCATACACAAATGCCCCATAGCTTTCTTGTCATAATTGTTAGATTTTGAAATGTAACATTGTTTGTCATTTCTTTGGTGTGCTTACAACCTTTCTTCATTCATTTTGCTGGTTAATTTGAGAAATGTGTATCTTCTACGATGTTGACACAGGAACTGATGGAAAAGTTAAAAATGCCATCAGATGCACAGTTGATGCAAACCGCACTTGATGACTTGAATAATTCGTCTTTGTCATTGGAGGATCGCCAACGTGCTCTACAAGAGCTTTTGATTCTTGTTGAGCCAATAGATAATGCCAATGGTAAGTGAGCAATTTTCCCCTCCCTGATTCTTAGCTTGAGAACTGGGAAGTTTTAAAGCATTTAACTTTAAACTTCTGCAAGTTGCTGCTGTTTACCAACTATGAAGAAACCATTTATGTATGTGAGGCTTCTAACTCCTAGAGATATGCCACTGCTTGGTCTATTCCTGCATAATTTTTAGGGGCCTATGATCTAATTTCCATTCCCATTTGAGTGTTATTATTGATATCATCTATTTGCTGTATGTATAGCTATTAACTAAAATTGAGTTTTTATTTATCTATTTTTGAACATTTTCAAACTAGTTTCTCTGTAATTTATCTTAACTTGGATCTCATGGCATGCACTGTTTTAGTCACAACTGCATTCTGAGCTTTTTATAATAATGCTAGTAACAGAAGAAAAGCAATGAGCTTTATGAGATTAACTAGTGATTGTGCAGCGCTGAAGCCATGTTTTGCTTCGCATATGTTCGTAATGCTACATACTATTTATCCTTCCCATTCTCATCCATTTTGTGAACTGTTATATTTAAGCAATACTCAGCCTTTCATGTTTTATGTTTGTATGTGGACTTTTCTTCTCAAGTTTACATTTTTTATCCTGGGTGTGGCTTACAGTGTTTCTCTTTTGTTTGCCAGATTTGTGTAAACTTGGTGGCCTACGTGTGATTGTACAGGAGCTTGATCATCCAGATTCAGAGATAAGGACAACTACTGCATGGGTACTTGGGAAAGCAAGCCAAAATAATCCATTTGTTCAGAACCAGGTACGTTATTTTCCCACTCTGCTTTTTGGGTGAGATGTGCTTGACAAGAAGTCACTAATAGGAGCGTCTTAGGTTCTGGATCTTGGGGTATTGGCAAAGCTAATGAAGATGGTAAAATCTAGTTCCATTGAAGAAGCTATCAAAGCATTATATGCTGTCTCAGCCTTGATCAGAAATAACTTTGCTGGGCAGACATTGTTCTATGCAGAAGCTGGAGAAATGATGCTTCAGGTGATCTTGGAATGATTAGAGCATTTGCAGTCATATGTATTTCCTTTCCTCCAGTTTTAATTGACAGTTTTTGTTTTCAGGACATACTAAGTAACTCCAGCATAGATATCAGACTACGTAGGAAGGCTGTGTTTCTGATTGGTGATCTGGTGGAACGTCAGTTGGAAAATATAGATCATGCTGAGATGCCTTTCTTTAGCAACTGCTTCTTCTTGAAATCTGTGGTTGATCTGACAACATCATCCGACCTTGATCTCCAGGAGAAGGTGTTTTTCTTGCTTTGAGATTCTAGTTTAATGGCTGCATGCATGTTCATGTATTGTTTAGTTTGTTGATGAAAAGCTAAAGCAACGATAGAGTGGATTACTGATGCTTTTATTTATGCTGCATTGCTTGTGCATATGTTACAGGCCCTTCTCGCAATAAAGAATCTTCTGCAACTTAAAACAACTGAAGCTCTTGTTTTCAAGGATTTTTGTCATTTAGATAATGCCTTGGAGAGAATGAGGGAGCGGCTGGAGGACTTGATGTATGAGGAATTTAACAGAGATTATGTAATAGATATCGAAGGCCTTCGGAAGGAAGTGGAGCAGATTTACCATAGAAAACTGGAAAAGGTGGGCTACTATTTGACTCTTTTGCATTTTTATTTAAGTAACATGATGAACTTTTAGTTAATGAAAGTCTTCAAAATTTCAGGTAAGAGCAGTGCCAGCGTGAAAAGCCATCATGAAAATAACATTCTGTTTTTCACCAAAATGTCCAACTTGATGGTGCCAATGCCAAACCTGTTATCAATCTGATGTGGGGTTTTTCTCACATAAAAATACAAGACAGCTTTGAGCTCCTCGGCTTATACTTGTATTGCCATTTTTCAAGAGAGATTTATGTCGACATCACAAGTGTTAGGTGTTTATGGATAGAAGTAGTTGAGATGAGAACTTGAAAAGAGGGGATTCTAATACGCAATTATAATTTTTAATGTAGAGGACAAATATGGTTGTTCTTTGTTATCTTGTGGCAATGGGGAGCAACTTTTTTTTTTTTTTTTTTTTAAGCAACCACTGCCTTTTTATGAAAAAAAAAATGGAAAAAAAGAGGGGACCATACAGAGAGGATGAATTTATATTGGGGCAAGAGGACACAACTGTTTTTTTTTT